CATAAAAAACCCTTATACAACATTGATAGGAATACTGAGATCAAATACAAAAAAATACAACCATCAACGTATTTCAAAATTGTTACTTTTTTGTAACACATATCATCGCAGTTTTATATTAGTGCTACCGGTATTACAACATTCATATTCGAACTTATTTGTAACATTTGAACTTTTGATTTAGTGCAATATTTTGTACTGTCATTAGGGACTGCCAGTGACTGGCTGCTGCATGCATTAAATGCAACCTTTTTATTCTGACAGTGTATGATTTCTATTAACCTTACAGAATAGAACATGATCAATTTGATCTTTCAACGTTCAATTTAAATAATTGTAATTGCACAAACTATGTAGGAAAGTTTATTGTGAAATAACTCAAACATTTACGTTTTTATTTCTGTCCTCTGATAAGCATTGTTCAGGGCTGCCATTCCCAAAAGCTTTAATGCTTTCTTATGATACTTTTGGGAAACGCAGCCCTGTTTGAATGCACTGTCAGCAGTGAGTGAACGCTCTCTGTGATTGATTGGTTCTGTCTTGCAACATTTGCGTGTGTTCAGATGAGCAGGAAAATAGTTCTATCCTACACAATTACTCGCTAACAAAGGTTATTCATCCAATTCAATGCATATTTTACGCATTTTTATTATTATTTTTGTTAAATAAACAAAACCACTGGTAAATAAAACGCACCTTTGTATCGATATTTTTTGTTTGAGTATCGATACTTTCGATACTCGCGTCAGTATCGATATATCGATACTTCGGATCAATACGCCCATCCCTATGTGACACTCTGTGTATTATCCCGCTCTATGCGTGTGTGTGCTCCGCTCAGTCGCTCCACTCGTATACCGTTCATGTGAATCGGAACAGCAAAGTCCACTCAAAAATTGAGCCGACAGGAAACATCGATGTAGTACAGAATTGTTTCTGTCTGCAATAGCCCTACTGTGTTGTAACAGGGTGTGATATATGGGCAATTCTGGTAACGCTGCCCTCTCATTCATTGATCTGCTAACCGCTATGTTATGCTCGCGTGTTCTGATAATAATAGCTTTCTAGGACTAAACATTATTTGGATAATTGGTTAAAAAAAA